CCTTGGTCACACGGCCAACAACAGCGCCCTAGTTCGGGATACGGCACCATCTTGCGGAAGTGAAAAAAAAAACTCTTAGACTCGTGAACCTCTCTGTCATGTATCAGCTGGATCCAACTGTCCCTTGAAAATTTAAAGTTGAAAAGTTCATTGAATTCTGAGACGGTCGAGCACAGGTGATCACCACACTTGAGGTGGAATGCTCCACCTCTAAGCACCTTTAATTCACTTCTAAATGGGCATTACATAATTTAGGCATGGGTGCTGAAAAAAAGCTGGCTAGCATTTCAACACCTTGTAGCCGTCAAATATCGATCCATTCAAATTTTTTTTGCTAAATTTATGAAACCGTCTTTCTTCCATCTAAAACGGTAGAGCGTTTTCTTTACCACCCTATATGTCTCGCTTTTCATATAGGAAACAAAAGTACAATTCCTTTCTCCATGGAATCATCCCTCACAGGAATGTTTAGCACCTCACCAAATGTTTTTCCTTGTCTAATTATAACAAGCAATAAAATCGTTCACTGAACCATTTATTATCCCCGTATTCGAAACAGAATCATGTAGCCCAGGCGATAAACAAGCTCATACCCCCTATGAGAAACCCTTGCATCCACGTGTATCAATACTTGAAATGAGTTTATGAGAACTCGATTATATACATTAGTTCTAATCTCCATTTCTGCGAAGCAGAATGACCATACTGTATCCAGGGAAGGGTAGAAGGAATTGAGTTACTCCGCAGAACAGAAAAGGGAGGACCCTTCCCAGGAAAGTGCTGTTATTAATACATTCAGAACTATGTACAATACATTGCTTTCGTTAATGATCCAATATTAGGGTGCTACAAGGGTGAGAGTGATCGTTCAAATATGACGCATTGCAATGTTGGTTCAACGTTAAGCTAGTGTTGAACATCAATGTCCATCTGAGTGTTATGATAAGCGACATTCCAATAGTGACTTAATGTTAGCTGCAACGCTAACCAAACACTGGGAAGGTTCAAACGTTAACGTTCGTGCAACGCTGATCGAATGTTATAGCATTTGCTAGGTTGTTTCTACCTGGAGTTATCCAGATCATATCGACAGAAAAACTTCGGTTTAAATGATGAACACATATACACTCATTTGTAAACCAAAGGAATCCCCCTCCATGAGGGAAGAACTGAGCAAAATACGTTAAGAGAGATGGCAGAAACATCTGACGTTCCAGGGTGCCGAACAATACCCACTTCTCTTTTCCATGTGGTAATCCTCTATGCCTGCAGGCACCGACAACCCTTTTAATGCCAGGTAGGGGCACGAACTCTCCAACGTTCATAAGTTTCAACCCGGAATGATACGGCATATGGCGACGTTGGCGTAGAGTCCTCACTGCATTGGTTTTTCCTGGTTACATTGCCCACTCACCATTGAAAATGAACAGATGTCGCAGCCTCTGGTCTTTCTGCATAATTTCTTACATCGGTCTTAAACTGTCAGCTAGTTTCCATCCATCTTATGCTCACATATGGAACTGTTTATTAGCTGATGAAACTGCTTTTCAGTCGTTTCTCCATTATCAAGTGAGGGATACAGCGTCCATGTACTTTTACAATTTAGATAACGTTTGTCTACTTTGGTTTCGAAGCTCGTCTTTCCCTACCAATCTTCCAATTCTCTTCATGCTCCCTCACTTAACTTCAAGGTTAATTCCATGGAGAATTTCGTGAATCATAAAATGAAACACGATGGATAGAAATGTATGGATAGAAATGGATAGAAATGAAATGCGATAGATGTCATTGAAATGGATAATCGAATTTAGCGGTCATCCAGCATCCAGCGGTCAGCGGTCAGATGCTGAATTTCCTTTGGAGTCGATATGAGAGTATATTTCAGGCTTCTGTCAGTTTGATCAAATATGCACACGTTACTAATTTGACGCGTACTAAATTGAGTCACGCATACTCACCTGGAATGATGTTAAATGAACGGCCGATGGACATGGTTTACTTACACTGCACTATGGACAAGGAATAGTACTTTCGATCTGCATTGGTGTTGACTGTGTGGCCTTCCGATTCGCTTCTTGCCTAAAGGTACTTTCTGTATTGCGTTCAAAATGGCAGATGGAAATTAAATTTGCGAGTCGGTGGGAGACATGACAGGATGTTTTGTGGGATTAGAGGGTGATATTCTTCCCTATGTCCCAAAACATCGAAAAAATCTAATCTTCCAATGGAGATGTGGCTGTGCATCTAAACAGCGATGCAGGAATTTGTTCTTCTCGATGAACACTTTTAAAATGGCAGATAAATGTCTGTTCCTTTTTCCGATGAAGTGGGTCGCTTTCGTATGGGTAATTTCCATTGTTGGCATGAATGCATCACGCAATCGAAGGCTTGGTTGCGATCGCATTTGTCTAACAAAAGTGGAATCAGAATAAAATTGTTACTCATAAAATTACTCGCAGAATAAAATTACTGACTCAACTTTGCCGGACATGGATTTTAAAAATTAAACTCTGTTTTTGACAGGAAAAAAAATTTAGGAGCCATTACCGAGAAAAGGTGAACTTTTACCTTTATATCGATTAATTTAGAAAAACCACGCACCTGCCTCCGATTACAGGTGAATTCATTGGGGTAAACTTCCCAGACAGTACGTATCCTCGTATGTACGGTCCTTCTGCATAGTCTATGGCCTAGAAAGGCATGGTCGACGAAACGGATGGGAAATCGGATATGTTCAGTCGATTCTCAGACGCCCTGTATATCGTTTTCCATAGCATGAACGGTTAGCGCTTTCAATTTTGCGATTTATTCTTTGATAAATGAAGAATTTTCTCTTAATTTCTCGAATGGCAAGACGATCCCATATTTAATGCTCATCGTTCCCTGACGAGCATTAGAGATGGAATCGCAAAAATCGAACTAAATGGAAATGGAAAGCGGAACTAAAACAGAACGATAAAACATGAGAGACGTAACTAATTTGATGCGAATGAAATACATCCATTCAGAATAAGTCCGGTGAGATTGGACCACAGAGAATTGTGCAATATTTCCTTGAAGCGATTTCTCTCTCGGCGGAAAGGTACGTTTGAGATGATTCACACTTTTCAATATTGAATATTAATGGTCCGCTTTCGTTCTAAACCCTCCAGGATCGACGCTGAGAAAGGTTCATGATGTCGACCAGAGTCTATTCCGTCCATCTTGCACGAGGCGAACTGACAAGTCGTCTGCCGATCACTTATGGATTGGTGAGACTCTTCACACCAATGTCCGCTCTCCCACTTTCGGTCGTTTCACACTCTCGCGTGTCATGCGACCCTTGCGTGAATTCTGGGCCGTGAGGCAGACGCATGCTGTCTACGTGCATTCAAGAGTTCTCGCAAAACGCAAGGCTTGCGTTTTCAATTCAGCTCATCTCGATTCCACGCACAAGCGTTTCACGAGAAATTGGGATGAACTCGATTGAAAATTCCGCATGCAAGCATTGACTCCGATCGCTGAGAATTTTTTCGTTCAGTTCGAATGGAATCATCTCTGCTTTACTCCATTGAACATTCCACCTGGGAGTAAGTGAAAGAAAAGGTCTCATAAGCATGAACCTGTGACGATGATTCACCATATGGCTATCTTGCCTGTAAGATCGCGTTATATTTTCTTCTCCCTTTGCAAACAGGCCCAGCTCCTCGTCGATGATTAACGTATGATGATGTCCCCGACCAATTTGTGCAATTTCTTAATCCCGACTCTACAGTTGGTGCAAGGGATTTTCTATCCAAATTCTTGTATGTGAATATTTTTTTGTTGACATTTTTCGACCAGGACATTGACTTATGAATTTTTCGTCCCGGTTTCTCCTTTCTTTTGCTTCTCAGTATCAAATCGAACCCTTGCAACAGTTTTCTTTTCAATGATCTTTTTGCTCCTTTAATTGGTCAGCCATGAGTCCTCATCAAGGGCGTGGTACAGGGAGAATTTAATCCTCTTTAAATATGCATAATGTCTGATGTCTGATGACAATGTCTGATGCATAAAATACTTATTACTACATCGATGCTTTGGCGATGTGGTAATTTTGGGGAATATGGCTCAAAAAAGGGAAAACCTGGTTTTATCGGCCCATCAAGGTCAAATTTGACTTCGCTAATATTCGAAAACATTTACTAATGACTCGTTTGTTCAACCTCAGCAAGACCCGTGCAAGAAATGCACGGGAAGAATTTAGGTCCTTTCCGAGCTGGCCCCAAGTGACCAAAAGTCACCTATTGTTGGGGTTTCATAGCAGCAACTAAACAAAAATCTGCGTACGTATTAAAAATGCTTCAATGCTCTGAGTACATGGAATGGACCTAACCAGAGATATATGTGTGCCGCATCGTATTAATATGTGGGGGAAAATGAGTAATGTCCAAAGAAATATCGAAAAAACCTTGGAGTTTCCCGGGATTATACGGATTCTATTTAGGAAGAAGAATGTAAACTCAATTTCTGATTCCTTTCTGTGGGTCTTGCTTCCCCATTTATGTCGTGTTAAAGGAATTAGAATGCATGCGTGACTTGCCTTTATTTAAATTCATTCCGTTACGGTAACATTCCGTTTTCCAACGTATTCTCCTCCTTTACCCGTCAGCCTGCAATCTGGCGGTTCTAAAAGGAGAATCACTTTAGTGGAGCGAAAAGGTGATACTTGGCTGTAAGTGGAAATAGAGACGAACTCATGTCATGGCAGAAGGGAATATCGCAGAATTCCCACTTTATATCGTCGTCAGCGACTAAGCACCAAGGCCTTTTTCTGTTTGGACCAGGGTTTCGACAGTAGTTTTTGTGAATTTTTGCGTCACCATTGAGGAACAAGTATTTTTTGTCATATCCAGTGTCAGTGTCTTCCCAACCTAATTCGAATGGATCGAATTGTATCATGTAGAAATCCCATGGCATATCATCGGTTTGGTCGTCCCAATAAAGACAAGTTTTTCCCGTCTCGGTCTCACTCATGGTTCCTACGTATTTTCCTTCCCTTTCGTCGACAGAAGGCATTCAGGGTACACGTTCCTTTCGATCCCAACATTCGCTCTGATGTCTTCTAGAACACCTGGGCAGAACGGAACGTCGCAGGCTTTCATTTCACCATCCGCATAACAAAAGGGAACATCGAATTCTCCATTAGGATTACGGCATAAATTGTGTTCGTCCATGCCAACTGAATGCGATATTGCCCTATGCATATCAGTGAAACTACTGAATACATTTTTCCAAAGTTCGCATGGAAATCCCGATATGTTCACGTTCTTCCGTCCAATGTATTCAGCACCCATTTCAGTCATTTGCATTCTGGAGGTACTGTTGCAGAAAAAACCCGTTGAAAATGAGCTGCTGAAATTGACTGCAACTGGCCTCATAATACATTTAAAAAGAAACCCCTTGGGGAAGCCAACTCGGACGCACAGAAAGGTGATGGGTAACGGTTCATATATACAATTTCCATTTGAACATATGTACTTGAAGCAAACAGGAGAAAGTCCTTCATATTAATGGAGATTTAGCATAGTTAAACTCCCATATGAGCTTAAAATACTTACTTGCATAGATAATTGAATTCTTCAGGGTAAAATACATTGATGCCGCTATGCACCGTTCTAGGTCGAGATTTTTAAAGGCATTTGTTAAAAATAATAGCGAAAATATGAAATTCCTTTGCATGTAAAGTTGGAATCAAAGCAAATTCCTTAATTGCCAAGGGTTTCGGTCGCATGAGACAGCGGTGCGCAAACTTCTCAGGTCATGCCCCTCTTTCATCCGTGTTTTCGGTCTTGCCCCCCCCCCCATACCCCTCCACCGGTTCCGTTTCACCAGAAACTGACTGGAATTTCTGATAAGTTGGCATTAGAAAGGAATGACGAACATATGGTTCTTTTAGTATGACGCTAGCTTGATGAAACTCATTGCAATTTGGAATGATGCAATATAACAAAAGGAATGCTAATTCAGGAAACTAGTAGTGTTACAATACATTTATATATAAGTTTACCTGTAGTTGATATCAAACGTACCTTGGTCTATGGACTAACAATAAAGGAATATAGAGAAAGGGGGTTAACCAATATAAGTTTCGAAAAAGAAAGCGAGTATACTCCATTTCTTGAATTTTATCATGAGGTATTCCCACTCCGAAACAAATCCACACAGATGTACCACACGTGCGGAATGGGTGCGTTTTTTTTTTTTTAGGAGGGTAAAAGAAAAGTTGACTTTCACAGCATGCACCTGATGAGATGAAGCCAATGACTGAAACAAAAGGGAAAAAAATATTCTCGGTATTCCTTCGCTCCTTTCCCAATTCATGTCTCTGATTCCAAGATATTTTTCCCTTCCCGTCTTTCATAGTCAGTCCTAGCAGTAACAAAATATTATCGTGCTAAAAAATTACAGGCCCGCGCGGGTTACACCGCCTCTTCCTCTCCCCGTCCAGAAGTCCTGTATTTTATTGTACTCGTCTCAATCCAATGGAACATTACCTCTTCATAAATGTTGCCGATACATCGCGATAGTCTAAAAAAAACAATCGAGACATCCAACCATTGATCTTAATATCGACGAATGGACCGATCGTGACAGCCCTGCTTCATGGTTATTAGAAAAAACATTGACCTGCACACTTGCTCTTACCTATTTCTTTTGCAGTTTCATAATAATGAAGTTTATGGACTAAAGTTTATGTAATAATTATTTTATAAGTGATTCACCCGCAACATTGCGGGAAGGAATCCGACACATAGCATTAAAATCAAATCCTTCCAAATCCTGTATGATGGTCCTTACACTCATGAATCTGATATTTAAAAAATGCATATAAATAATTGATAGATTTTTCCAGAAATTTCCTAGATATACCCTACGTTTCCTAATTTCTTTCATTTTTTATTATATACTTTTGAGCCATAAAACCATCCAATATCAATATAAAAATCCAGAGAAAAAAGGTAAAGGCCAAAGTTCGCGTGCCGAAGCACGCAATCTTTATTAGCAAGCAATCTCTTTATTAGCGCACCGCCGCCATGAGACTTTGTCACATGCTACGCAACATATTTTGGCAAATTATAGAAGGGATCCCCGGAAAGCGAGATCCAGGAGCGACCATGCATTTGTCTAATCCAAATTTAATTTATTAAACTTATATTTGAGTAAATCAAAGGATGTAGGAGTGAGAGTTTATATATTACTAGCGAGTTTGTTTGCCCTTCGGGCAAACAAACTCGCTAATAAGGCATTTGTTTTCGATGCTCACCCCTACTAATGCGGTCAAACTCCTTTGTTCATGGGTTCAATTCTCGCACCATAAAGTAAAGGTGTTAAAGAACATATTATTAATGACGCCATGTCATTGTAGCATAAGGATTACCAATTAACAATTGTAAGTGTGCCATTTAGTGTTCCATTGGTGTATGCAATTCCTGTCTATGGGCGAGTACTCTTAATAGCATATCAATCTCCAAGAAAAGTAGGAGTAACACCAGCCATATGAACCACATAAGACACTTGACATAAGACAAGTTTCAGCTTTCAATGTCTTTCCGTTATACTCAAGCAAAAATGATGTTATGGAGGGGGATTGAGTAGCAGGACATGGAAGGCAAAAAAACCAAACGAAAGCTAAGGTATGGCCGGGAATTGAACCTGGACCTTTTGCCTGCCAACCAGATATGTTACGCCTACACCACAGAACCCAGCACTTACAGCTGACTTTCTGAATGCCGTCTTCATCCGTTACAAAAGATATTCATGAAAAACGTTTCCCCCCAAAATGTGTAGCCTAAAAGCCTAAAAAGCCATAGTATTGTACAGTGGGCCTCGAGCATGAAGCTAAGATTCCAAAAGTTTAGGTCAGAGCGCATCGTACGAGATCTTTGAAATGCTGTTTATTCTTGGAAACCCTGCATATAAAAGGCACGACTTCATATTTACAATGATACTATCCATGATTCCAAAAGTCCTCGCCACGTTGAAAATGAAGTCGCATGAAAACCGTATTTCAACGCCTTTTTCTAGTGTCCAGATTATTTTGTCGCCAACGCGGGGAACCTCAGAACTTCCCATGTCTCCTATAAAAGAACAGGGTAAAGCCATCTAAGTTCGGACTGTGCCTAAGTTCGGACACCAAATTCCTGTAAAACAAAGCATTTGCGAGGTCACCATCAGAAACAGCTCTTCCCACCTGCGAATAACTGTTTTTGAGGGAGAGCTCACCAAAGTTTGGTTTTGTAATGATGTACGTGATAGTGTCCGAACATGGATGGTTTAACGCTAAGAATGTATTTGCTGCATTGGCAATTACATTCAGTCTTGCGGAAACAGGAATTAGAAGTGGTATTAAAACCACTTTCTTTATAGGGGGACAAAGGTACTGCTGTGTCTGAAAGTGGGACGTCCCACCTACAAGGTATAACGGGACATCCAGTCACTTTAGCTTATCCTCTCCCAAAAATAACTCGACCTTGTGGGTTATTTGGCACCTTTAAAAGAATGTATTTTAATAGTAGAAAGGTAACACATGCGTTTGAAAAATGGCAGCAAAAGGAATCGTGCCTCTGGTCCCCATTTTACATGTTCTGAGTACATTTTCCCCTAAAAGTGACAATGTATGTCTGAGAAAATAAACGAAGATGAATCATTCGAACTTGTTTGGCCTTGGTTCAAATATTTCCATGGAGCATGAAGCAAGGTGTAGGAATGGAATTAAGTGCCATAGAGGAACATAACACTGCATTACTGTATGTTCACAAGTGGAAGTAATCTTTATTACATCATAAAAGGAATGTGTTCAGATTGTTGGTCAAAAGCAAAGCAGGTGAAGAAATAAGAAGACACGATAACCAAAGGACTCTCGAAGTTTTTTTTTTGGGCAGACCCAGGTTTTAACACTGTCCGATGCTAGCAAGTTTCCCCTTACAAGGTCAGGAAACCGTTCCTGGAGAATTGTCCTAATGAGGCAGTGAAAGACATTGCAAAGTATAAGGTAATGAATGATGTCCTTCATCTTATTGTCTGCCCCCACATCTGTGTCCTTCGTGCTGGGCAATTCCTGATTTGCCTCAGCATCTGGGTACATAACATTCATCCAACTCGATTCCATTCCAACACACGTATTCATCTGAAATCCCGCCTACTAAACGCCGACAAAAATTGTGAGAAGGATGCAAATCATCTGGAATATCTATATAATCAAGAGAAGTATCAGTTCCAAGTGGACGATCTTCTTCTGTGAAGTACATCAGCCAAGGTTTGCATGGTGTCTCCGAGATCGTCACATTTATTGTTCCCATGTATTTTTTCCATCCACCCCTGCGCTTGCACGATTCGGGTCCTAGTAGAGATATAGGTACAGTAGGCAATAGTACAGTGTCTGTCTTAGATTTCCTTTTACACTGTAAAAAAATAATGATTCAAACTAGTACCCTTAGAAGGTTATATGCTTTCAGAGTGGTGTTCAGTGATTGAAATTTACTTGAAATACTTCAACCTCACTTAAAAAACTATACGGCATAAGGACGCGAAAAAAAAATGGGGAGCTTTTGAAGAAACTAGAAAGGGCTCGGGACGAGTCTATATTTTGTCATATATGGAACTGTGTCCTAGAACATATAATTGATTATCTGCGAGGCAAGAGCTCTGAGATTCTGGTAACTTCAGGTATCAACCAGTTTCAGCTCGTGAGAGCCTAATTTAATTTAATGAATATTTTTCTCCAAAAATGGTTCCAATCCGAACTTTTAATGTTAGAGCAGAACCATTTTTCAACATATTAACTCACTAATTTCCTGGCAGCAATAATCGCCTGAATATCCAAGGTTGTAACATTCATATTCTGCCCTGTGGAAATCTTGAGATCGAGGTAGCACTAGGATTCAGTTGCAGATTTTCCAGGAAAAAGGTTCTGCAAAGTTTCCACCATAGAACCTCTATTATTTTTACTGTGTAGGATGTATTCATCACTTTCAGGAATGAGGCGGTCATGAACACGGGATACAATGGAGAAAAAATGCAATGAAATACTCACTATCGACGCATTTTCCCTCGACTCGTATGTCACATTCTTCATTTGTGAGGCAAAAGGGAACGTCGCAAAATTCCCATTTCCCTTGGGGCAAAGGTTCTATGTAACACCAAGGACTCCGCCAGTTGGGATCATTTAGGTTAGGACTGCGGCAAAAGTTGTTAGTTGAGTCAATTTCTTCAGGGAACATCGAAGTTGCCGCGTAATTCAACCTTTCACTCGCGGAAAATGTTGTCACCCAGGGTTGACACGAAAGCCCCGAAATGGTGACATTCAGTTTTCCAACATATTCTCCTCCCATAGCCGTCAGCTTGCAATTTGGCGAATCTAAAAAGAAAATAACTTCCGTGGAACGAATGTATGATAAGTTGCTGGAAGTGGAATGAGGTACGAACTCATATCATGGCAGAAGGGAATGTCACAGTACTCCCACTTCACGTCGACGCCGGCGACGAAACACCATGGCTTTTTTCTGTTCGGCCCAGGGTTCCGACAGTAGTTCTTGTGTATTTTTACGTCACCATTCAAGAACAAGTATCTTTTTTCATAGCCATTATAAGATTTTTCCCATGAGTTGTCTTTTGGCTTAAATTGCGTCATGTAGAAATCCCAAGGCATATCATCAACTTGGTTGGCCCACAGAAGACAATCTTTTCCTGTCTCGGTGATACTCATGGTTCCTACGTATTCCTTCCCTTTCTTTGACAGAAGGCATTCAGGGTACACATTCCCCTCGTTGCCAACATTCCCTGTGGTGTCTTCTAGAATATCTGGGCAGAAGGGAACATCGCAGGCTTTGAGTTCTTTATTGACATAGCAGAAGGGAACATCAAATTCTCCATATGGGTTGCGGCAGAAGTTGTGCTCCTTCTCCATGCCCTTTGAATCAGGTATAGCTTGATACATATCAGTGAGACTGCTGAAAACAAATTCCCAAGGGGTGCATCGAGAACCTGATACGTCCATGTTCTGCCTCCCAATGTATTCAGTGCCCAATTCAGTCAACTTGCACTCCGGAGGTTCTGTCGAAAAATAACCATGTATAGGAAATGCTGCAACAAATTGATTCCGACTGCATTCCGAAAATTGAAATGCTTGGCTGGAGATGTCAATGCGTACGCCCGAAGCAAAATGTCTCGCGAATTAGGGGAACGACGAGCATGAAAATTACGGTCCACATTAAAGGCTCAATATTTTTGACACGAAATGGTTTTTTTTTTGACCTGATAAAACAGTAGGCACTCTTTATTTAGAATGGGGCTTTGGTAAATGTTAAAACTTTTATGAGCTCAAAATTCCCATACATATTTGGATACTCTACAGAGTCTCACATTTTCGATTTCTGTAGTTGGAGATCATTCTTCACTGTGTTTCTTATACCATTAGTTGAAAGTCATTCACAAAAATTACATTCTCTGCGTGAAATTAGAATACCAGCGGGTTCCTTCATAGCCAGGGATTTCTGGTCAGGTGAAACCTTCTCATGTGCAACACATCCCATGCAGTAGGAAATGGAAGAGGCGGATGAGAGGAAACGCCGACATAAAAAAGAAATTATTTACCTGGATCCCAGCACATCGGGATGTTGCAGTACTCCCATCCATTTTCTGCGTCAAGAGTGAAGCACCATGGTCTTGCGAATCCAGACGGGTTGCGGCAGTAATTTATTTGAGACCAAGCGTCAATGCCGGGGAAATTAACTTCATATTTCATGTTTTTCTTTTTCGTTATCTCAGGGATCCATGTTGATGCGCGCCAAGAGTTCGTACTTGGCAGCAGCCAAGTTCTATTGGATTCGCCTGGTATTCCATGCCCAATGGAGTCCCATCTCAGACAATCCCTTCCAGATGCAGCCTTATTCATCGTTCCCATATACTCTGTTCCATTCTCTGTTAGCAGGCATTCTGGATATTTTCTTACTTCTATGAATGGCATATCCAGAGCAATGTCATTATCTACGAAAGAATGACATCATGTGCTATGAACCAGATAGAAGCTTATTTACCAATCTGGCGTATCCATATCGTTTTCTCAACGAGATGGAAATAATAGAAGTGTACGAGCGATAAATGGCGCGCGATTTTTGGGTTGTGATAAAGTAATGCAATTGTGTATGAGCAGAAAACCAAATGCAAGGTGTTTCTCTATAAATCCCGGATTTGTTTTCCGAATAACTTTTCCAACACCGCACCAATTCAGCTCTTTAAAGCCTCACTCGAAAGATCAGGGTTTCCCATTTTGTTCTCACTTCAATTTTTTTTTATTGAATGCGGTGAGCGCTGAGAAAACTCTGTTGGCGAGCACAACATTCATATCTTTATGCGCCTCTGTGACGCAGCTTGTTTGATCATTCTTTCTGTCTTGTTTCGTTGCTCGATTGGACCATGGTTTTCTGGGTAGGAAGAAGCCAGGAGGTTCTGTTGTTGGGTTGGTGATGTGGTACCTATGCGGTAGATTTGTGCTAGCCTAATCACTTCGTCAGCGTTGTTCAGTCGAAGAGTGTGCAGTTATAAAAACCCTCAGTGGTACACAGAAGAGCCTCTTCGCTCACCTCGGGTGACAGTCTGCCTGGCGTTCGGAGTGAAGTGCTTTGATGCGATGAGGAAAGAAAATTACTTCTGATTGATATGTTGCTGTGTACCTACCTGGAGAGCTTTAGCAGCTCAACAATGTCCGTCCTGAAACTGAACTTCGTGGCATCATGCTGCAACATGACAATGCCAATCAGCACGCTGCTACCAGAACCGTTGAATTTTTTTTTTTTACAAGATTCATGAGTTGAGGTGGTTCCACATCCACCATACTCACTAGACATGGCTCCATGTGACTTCATTTGTGTTTCCCAAGGCCAAAGGACTGAGGGCGAAGGTTTTACAGCGACGATGCTGCCATTACATGATGACCTCATGAACTCCTGCTGCAGTTGGAAAAGGGTCACTCTTGAGGAGTCGTATTCTTGTTTTAGGAATTGATTTTACTGACTGATCCATATCATCTGAGGACTACTTTTGAGAAAATTGTAAGATAGTAATTAAATAAAGACTTGATTGCAAATGCGCAGCCAGTAACTTTCAGCATTGTCCACGTACCTTAAGAAACAATTACCGCAATCACGTTGCTAAAGCCGCCGAGGCAGGAGTCAAAGATATCCCCAAAATCAAGGAAGCAGCTAACAGCAACATCGACTCAACTCTCTAGCAAATATCCACCAAACGACGGGCATTTAACAAGCAGTCGAAGGAATACTTCAGTCTGCGGAAATCACGAAGAAAATTATTCAGTATTTTCGTCTTGCCGCAGCAGCTGCACCAGCCAGACCAACATATTGTCAACAGAATTAAACGTAAAACCGCCCTAAATTTTTGCAAGAACGATTTCTGCTTTGAGATAGCAGCGCCAGAGATAAAAACTGAATAATTTTTGGAAAACCAGGAATATAGAAAATTTAAAGCAAACATTGAATGGCAGACGGATCATTTAAGACGGCCCCTCCTTTATTGTCACAAGTCTGGGCACTTCATGCCATCAAATTCAACACCGTCATTATTCTTGTCTTCGCATCTCTCCCCAGGAAGTCCAAGGAGACTTAGGAGTGTATCTTGACTCGTGACTCAATCGACTCAAACCATCGCTCAAGCCTTTAAGCGTCATGACGGTCTTTGAATCGACTGTATTCTGAGCCTTCTCGGAAACCAACAACGAAATCATAAATCGCGACTGCCTTTTCAACTTCCGGCAGTGTCAGTGGAGGTAATCACGAACTACGTCAGAAATACACCAACACCGAGAATGCAGACATCTGATTCAAGTTACGGCAATTCATGGCATTAAAATTTCAACATGAAGCGCAAGTCATAAAAAAGTCGAAGATATACTATCGACACCTTTTTCGGCCTACTTCAAATGCACCTGGCTTGGACAACCAATTAACCGCAGACGACGTGCTCCTGTATTACTTTCGGTGATGTAGAACCAGTGTCAAGGAACACTTGATTGATCTTTCAAAGACTAATAACTCCAACGAAGGCTGGCACACGTCATTATCTTCCCTCATCGCATCAAATCATCCTACGAACTGGAAATTCATCGACTGCATGAAGCAAGGACGAAGTCAGATTTATACAGTATATATATATATATATATCTTGATATAAATCTGACTTCGTCAGATTTATATCTGATTCGTCGACTGCAGCAGCGTGGGCAGCAGCGTGGCGCAGCGCTTGAATCGGAGCCCCTTCGATCACCAAGTTAAGCAGCGCCAGCATGGGCACAACCTGGATGGGTGACATGGAAAGATCGAGCTGCTTGCCTAAGGCGGTGCTGGGCACTTCACCGATAAAAGGGCGGATGAGACTCTCGACGGTCCAACGGCCGTGGTGCCCCATGGATCAGAGGATCACCATGTGCACCCTGTGCAAAAGGTGGATGTGGCGCATGCGCCTCACCTGCCAGGTCCTCACACTCATGGAAACATGATGATGCCACAACTAAGAAAAATTCATACTGGCTCGGCCGTCGCCCAGGATAAAAAGGGCCGCGCTGGCTGCAGGTCTACCGGTGCAGTCAGTGAAAAGTTGGCGTCCNCTTCCCAACTTCTGGCTGAAGCAATTAACATCGTTACATGAACAACTCGCCAGAGAAATGCAGAAGGTAGTGACAGACCCCTCGGAGGAGGGGAGGAAATTATTACATATCTTTAATAATGTATGACTCAGGGAATCATTAAATGCTAAAGCTAAGCTTGTTATTACAGCAGTGCACGGGATTAGGGAAGAGTAGAATCCCAGCTCACAAGTATTGAATACTATACCTTCTCTATATTTATTGGAAGAGAACTCCTCTAAACATTCATTCCTCCTCCCGAGGTCCTGGTACGGGAAGAGGACCTAGTAAGTCATCTTGAGAGCTGGTGAGGATGAGTATTTGTGTACTCATGTACTTTTACAAGTAACCTTGAGTTCCAAAGTATGGAAAGGAATGGGAGAAATATAGTGTATCAATTCCCTTAAAAAATTACGAATTAGCTCATACGCATGAATGTTTGGGGAAAATCAACATCAATTTTACGTAAAATGAAGGTAAACATGCTGTTGGGGATGTAAGTAGGAATGTCAATTTTACGTAAAATTTACGTTAATTTTATATCACCGTGTACGTATAACAGAGTTGACGTTTCTGGAAGCATATTGACATTATCTTCATGATGGTTTGCATAAAATATATATAAAATGGAGAAAAATATTTACATTCAGTTAACGTGAAAAGAACATGAACATGCTGCTTGGGTATTTTACGCAAACAATGTACGAAAAGGTTACCCTTTTAAAGGTTAAGGTTAATTTTTACAAGTCACTTCGTGATTCAATGACATCGTTTCGTGTCGGTAGTTGACAAGCGTCAGTTTCTTCTCTAAAATTCTGCCGTCGTACGGCATAACTTACGGACGCAGATTGTTTCTTCAATGAAGGAGGTATGCCATCTGCTACAGGGGGGCTGGCAACGTGCCGTGTGCGTCAGAATACCGTCAGAGAAGGGCAGAAAATATCCGGTAGAGCAGGTGAAGCTGACAACGGTCCCCTCGGGGGCTGGGTAATCCCCATTCCAATCTCCCAAGTTCATTTCGGCCCCGAGAATACTTGGGTACTCCAGCACACACACATCTAAGGAGGTGAAATGAGGGAAACGGCTATTATTACTAGGTCTTTAATTTTCTACGTCTATCTATCCCGACTCAATTGATGTGAAGCTGCTAAGATGCTCGATGTCCCTGCATATTGGGCAGAATGGAAGTCCTATAACTACCTATTTATATGCCTAATAAATGTACCAACAGCTGGATTTAAGGAAAATATATTGATGTTTACTTGTCTAATCACGAGGAAACAGATGTTGTGTGAAATGGTTTTCAGATACGTTCGAGCGCGGGAATCCACTTCTGACATTGGATTAGAGTTTCCTCTTAGGTTTCTCTTAGAGCTTGAATCCCTCTCTTTCCTTCCTTAGGGCCAGTTTTGCCAGATGTCTCCCTGGACTGATTTTCATCTTTTGATAATAACATTGTGAAATTCCAATGTATTAAGCTTTGCTATGAACAGGAGAAAAACAGGTACTATATGTGAGAAATCCTGAGGCGTGGATTAGTTTCTTTACACATGTCCCACTGGGTTGGCGAATGAGGCGCCATCTTACATCGGTAATTTACCAAGTTTCAGATTTATAACTTTTCTTGAACATGGTTAGAATTAGCGTCAGTCAGTCAGTCAGTCACGATCGTCTATATATATTAATATTAGATTCTGAAAAGGCAAACAATCCATGAGCCTCAGTTAAACCAAGCCTTTGGATGGGATGCAAAACGAGATTAGGAGAAAAGATTTCATCTTCTGTTACTCCATCCTTCACAAGATTGGGCCAAACGTGGTCTGTGTTACGCCTGGGGCTCCTGAAACCTTAATCCTCACATGCATCAGGTGCATGTGAGGATTATCCTACTATCAGGTGCCAAAATGCACGCACACCTACGCTCCCTTTATTATTTGCTGCGTAAGTTCTAGACTCAGTTTTTAAAAAAGCAATTTATCTGAACAGTACGAGCTGGTATATTTAAGACTACGCTTGTATGACGTAGAATGTACGTCATTGGAGTCTCGAAAGGGTTATGAAAACGAAAAGTATCATTATTAACCATATTGCTGCCAAAAGCAACTTTTGTTGCTTTATGACCTTTCGCTCCGTAATTTGACTTACTTAAATCCCTAATCAAAAACTCAATATGCAGCAAAAGGGTTAACCGTACCGATGAATGATGCTAATAAGAGCTCTCCCTTTATTGTCAAGTGCTTCCCAGAAATTGGGCTTTTCCCCAATACATGGACTAAGCTTAATCTCCGATTCTCAGGCCATTCTTCAGTGAAGGGTTATGGTCAATGTTCTATGTTTCATCGTCAAAATACCCTTGATAGGCCTCAAGAACTGTAAACCATGAAGACTTTACCAGTTCATGGAATCGCAACAGTGTAGGAGGGGAAAAGTTTGGGGAAGTTGAGCCGCGGACTTCTGTTTCGTGCTGAGTCGAAGGGGCAGAGGAAGAAAGTTCCAACAGAAGTGGTGCAAGCGTAATCACTGGTTATCATTCGAAAGTTCCATAGGGAAGATGTTTTGTTCAAAGCGCAAGTCATCATTCGAGAAAGGCCTCCTAACGTCCTCAAGCATTTTTCCTCATGAGAAGACCAAGTCTCATAGAGAGGCATGCACGAAGCGGCATGCATTGTTTTTAGGGATGAACGTGATGGGTGAAATCAGTGTTGCGCATACGGTCGATCTTCCTCGCGCCAGAAGAGCATTAAATATTATTTTCACTACTTCGAAGTTACTTGGACTAATAGGACAAGCTATCGTTGGTCATGAAAACAATCTAAGATCCGAGGAGATCATCGCGACAAAAGGTCTAGTCGGGATGTATAAAATGAGATTCTCCAAATAATGGCTGATGAGGTGCTGCAAAAAGTGACACCTGAGGTTCGTACATCCAAATTCTCCGCTATAACGATCGGCGAAGGGAGAGATTGCTCAAATTCTTAGCAGGTCAGTCTTTACTTGCACTTTACAGTCTTTACTCGGCCCCGACGGCCACCTCGAAAAGTGGACGCCGGGGTACCGAGCCATTTTTTTTCGGAACCCGGAGGAATATTTTCGCTCCATTTACTCGGCAGTTTTGGATTCGCGCTGAGTCCTGAACCAAGCGATTCAAGTACGAAGATTTTCCAAACGTTGAACGCTTGGAGATGAACCTCACTATCATTCCTCACTGGTGAACGATGCGAGCTATAGCTATCTCTTCAAGATGTAACTTTCTTTGGGGGTAACATCGACCAACCGCGATCGGAGCTGCATCTTCACATGCTGAAGGATGCCTGTCGAGTCAGACACCTCACAGTAACCTCCTTTATTCACCTAAGAGGCTTCTTCAAGAACGACGAATCTTTTCGTACCTTCCTGAATGTAAAAAGAGATGATCCTAGTTGAACTTTTCTACACCATTCCTATCACATGTACTGCCGAATGATCCCTCAGTGGACTTCCCCGCTTGAAGAACTATCTGTGTGCCACCATGTCACAGAAACGTTTGAACAATGTGGCGCTAATTCACATTCAAGAAGTGTACACCGATAGTTTGATGGCAAAAAGCTTCTGAACGCGTTTATCAGTCGAAATTTGCGGAGTGGCAATACCTTCGCCATGTTTTGAAAGTGAATAAAGCGCGAGTATTGTCAGTATCATTGAATCACTGGTTAATCTCTTTCTAAAACGTTAATAGTAGAAGCTTGAAATTGAACGATCTACGGTTGAATAAATACAGGTGAACGTAGACCAGCGATTTTCATACTGTGGTATGCGCACCAGCCCTAATACTGCCGACTTTTGTCATTGGAACGCGTTTTATTTAATAAACTGTTAATATGAATAACGAAAAAAATATTTTAGGGTAGACTAGGTGTGGATTGTTCACATCTTCACAGTGTTCCAGCACGCAACACATGA